AGCAGTTGGGGGGGGGGGCGGTGTTTTTTCTTTCTTCAGAAGTTGGTGGTGCTGCTGTAAAAACACGACACTGTCACCACGCTTTCGAAAGTTCAAGGTTACAGCCCGGAGCGGAGCAAGAGGCTCCCGAACAGCGCCGGCAAGCGAAACTTGGCCGGGCGGCCGGGCCCGTGCCGCGGGGGCGCGCCGAGGCGGGGGCGCGCTCGGGCGGGCAGAGCGGGCGGCGCGGCCCGCGGGCTTCTCCGGCAGCGCCGCTCGCCCGCCCGGCCGCGCTCTGCGGGCAGCGGTGGGAGACGGCTTCCCAAGCGGCCACCGTAACAAAAATGATCTCCTGGAAATTCAAACGATAAATCTCTCCCTGGCGCTCCCACCCGATTTGGTCTCAACGTGTCCCTGAGTGTCCCCCTCCCCACCCGGCCCTGACTCTGCAAAACTTAGAAGTTGGAAAAATTCACCAGTTACACCCTGTGGACCCCATTCCAGCTCTCTCCCCAAATGAGATTTAAGTATTTTTGTTTAATTATTTAATTACACAATCACCGTTTACACTCCTCCTCCTCCTCCTCCTGCAAACACATTCCTTCTCCACCAGATCCCCTTCCTCTGCCCTCCCTCTGCATTCATTACCACCGAACGCTGCAGAAGGAACGAGCACGTTTCGCAAACATCCCTCCCTCATTTTCCCGCTCTTCTGGTGGGAGAAAGTTGCGGGGACGAAGGGGAGGGGGTGGGGAGGCTGCCATCTGCGAGAGGCTTCTTTTTCTTCTTTCGGGGTACGACTTCGCCAGCTGCGGCGGGGCTCAGGCGCCCCCGCTTCCCCCCACCCTCGGCGGGGGACACGGGGGACACAGCCCCCTGCGCCGGCCCCCGGAACGGGGGGAGCCTGTCCCACACCGCTGTCCCCGCCCCCGCAGGCTGCGGCCGGGGGCGGCGAAGGGGTCCCGGCTCGCGGGAGGCAGCAGGGTGCCAGGGTCTGGATCCATTCTCCGGGGGCAGCTTTAACCAGGGGAGCTGGGAAAGGGGGGAAGAACACTGGGCGAAAATTGTTTCTGCTCCTGTGCGGCGGGCTGCGATGCTGTGCCCAGCTCAGGGGGCGCCCGGTGTGTGCGGCCCCCACGGCCAGCATCGCCGCTGCGGGCAGGGGCGGCCGAGCGCCACCGCCGCTCCCTCCCGCTGCCCTTGCGCAGCCCCCGGCGGCGTGCCGGAGGGACCGCTGACTTCCTCCTTGCCCAAAGTGAGAGTTTATTCACGTCAGGCATCTCACAACGACACATCAAGGAAAGTAAGCAGGTTCAAGTCAACCATGAAATGGTCACTTTTTAACCCCGTCCTGTCCTCATTAGGGAAATGCTCAAACACAGCCCATTTTCAAAGAGGGCTCTTAATGAGGGGAGCTTGCCAAGGCTACCAGCTGCAATTCCCATAATTTACAAACCAAAAGAAGCAGAGGGATGAGTGGGGGAAGGAGACACTCTGTACAAGACAGGTAATGTCAAAAGAACCAGCAAAAGCCCAACGCAGTAATCTTTGCAGAATCCATGCCGCATCCCCACAGCTTGGTTTCTGGCTAGCTACTCTTGCCCAGATTTGCAGGGTTCAAACAACTGTCCTGCATCTTCTCTTCTACAGACTATTCTGTTAAGCGACAAGTTAAGGACATACATTTAGGCAAAGATGAATGACACAAACTTGGGGTTAACCATAATAAGGAAAACTTATTTTTATGTCTGTTGTATAATACCCCTGAAATCCTATAGTTTTTCTCTATATCCAGACACAAAAAGCTGATAATGCCAGCTTTAAATTATGGAGTTTCCCTTTCAATAAGTATTCTATTTAACTGGAGTTAATTTACCATAAAAGACATTCCTCTTGGCACAAATGCACTGATGTCCTTGAATACACCTCTTTGAGTGCTTGAGCTCTTACACAACAAGCCATTATTGCAGACCTGATTTAAAATGACAATAACTCTCCTCTGTTCTCTTTATCACTCTCATCCCTCCATAAGGATCAGGGCAACCTAACCAAATCCATAACATCACATCAGCAAGACTGCCCCTGTGAGCTACATAGATGTGAAAAGTCTCCCCTTTCCCAGGCAAGGCTTGCAGAAGGCCCCACTTGCATGGTCTGGCCCAGGGATTGCAGTTGCACTAGGGTCCTGTGCACTAAAAGCAAGAACTCCTGCCAGTCTGGCAAGCAGAAAAAAAAACAAATGTAGTGAGGTAAGGGCAGAGATAAACCAGTCACTTTCTAGAGCCTTTGCTACTGCAAGGGATAGGGAGTCTGTGTTCACATCGCCAGGAGAGCTGGCTGAGGGTGGGTTTGCATCTCTACCCAGAGGGCACGAGGTGGAAGATGAGCACAGACAGCCCTGCAGCATGTACCCGTATCCCCCAGAACAGCACTGCTGCAGAGCAGGCAAAGCGAGATACTCCCACCCTCCAAACCAGTCTGCTGGCCAGGATTGAACAGGCCTCTTATATGAAAGCATCTTGGGGAAAACGGAACTGCCCAACCAGCATGGCTCAAGCAAGCATTTTTTCTTCTGTATGATCTATAGGGCATGGCAGGCATGGTACATGTTGCCATTGGTTTGCCCATGGGTTTGATCCAAAGACTCCCAGTATATGACAGAAAGCCGGCTGTACTGGGCATCCAAATGTGTTTTAGCTCTCTTGCTCCTGGTTATTCCAGTGGGAACCCATAAAGGATGAAGGCTTTTGTCATGCTCAGAAACACATGTGTGCACATGCCTGTGCCCCTCATCCTCCTCCATCCCACCCCAACCCCTCAGCTCCTTTCACAGAAAAGCAAGCTAAAGATTATTTTCAGAATGCATAAAGAACTCCATTAAAATCAGAACAAAGTGTAAGTCTCTATCACTTTGCTGCAGAGGCATGCAGGGTATGTGGTAACTGGATTAGCCTGGAGAAATATGGCATTAATGCAGCAACGACACTAGGCCCTTGGCATGCAGGGAGGCCTTGTGAGAAAGTGGTTAAATTGCTTTCAAATTATGACTTGCATTATTTCCTCAACCACCCCAAAGACCCTTCTCTCCATCCCCACATACTAAAATCCCTGTTAATACTGCAAACACTCTACCCTTGAAGCTCCAGGCTGGAGGACAATTGCTTTTTGTCTTCACTGCCAGAGCTATGCCAACCTCATGCTGTATCTGGAAGTTCAACTAGCATTTCAATGTGGGCAATTAAGAAAATAAAAATCACTATCTGACCTTCCCAAAGACAGACACTGAGAGTGGTTCTCTGACACTAATCCTAGCCCAGGCTGGCCTAAGGGATCCTGCTCTCCAGTAGGATGCAATATGAAAACTGATAACACTGCTTGGACACACACACAGCTGGGCATCTGCACACGGCTGCTACAAACCTTCACGTGACAAAAATGTACATTCAGGAAGAAAAGGCAGCTTTCACACTAGTAAGTGGCAGATACCAAAGCTTCGAGGAGTCACCCTCACTGTGAGCCTGCACTCTCCAGCCTGGGGAGCTGCTCCCATGCTCCCCCTGCCTCCCATTCAACTCTGGCAGGGTGGCTAGGATAGGAGGACATCCGCTGCCCACACTGCATTATCTGAGATGCTCATCTCAAAGGAAAGAACCACAAAGGTTTTTTAACACCATGGACAGATGGGCTCACTCTCCTGTACCCATCCTAGTTTGCCAGGGCAGTTTTCTGCCAGCAGTGCAGACCCTGGTATGCCAAACTTGCACTAAAAATAGAAAGGCCATTTAGACCACTTATATAGACCAGAATTTCAACTGTTGTCCTTTGGCTGGACAACTGCTTGAGTTTTTCAAGTTTTGGACTACAAGACAATTATTAATGGAACAAAAATAAAGAAATCACTAATGCTGAAGTGCGAAGCCTACAATTATCTCAGATTAAATGTGGGCAGTTTGGCCAAATATCTAACTATACACATACTGAGCTTCTAAAAAATCAAGTTTTCATGAAAATTCCAGCTGTCTCTTCATAGAAATCAGAAAAAACTGATTCTGGCATATGCCTTTTCATCTGAAGTGTGGAATATCTGAGAACTAGCACCAAAACGCTTGTGTAAGAGGTCTTTGTGATCCAAAACACAATTTTTTTTATCTAGTTTAATAATACAATTAGCTCCTTTTTCACCTTTTGTTAGAAAATGTCATTAACACACATGTTCGTTCAATAAACAATTACTTGGGTACATGCATAAATACTGAGTAGCGCAAACAGAGTACAGTTTGTATCACTCATGCGTAACAAGTAATCTAAACCATATTATATTATATTATATTGTATTGCTACCTGATGGTGATTCTATCTGTATGATTCTGTCATGGTGCCTTGAAGTCTTCTTGTACAAGCATATTAACCTACAAAGTAAACCTTTTCATCTTTGGCATAAACAGAACCTTGAACAGTTTTTTTATGTGCAGGAATATTGTCTGTGCAAGGAGATATATATGTACATACAAACATACGTATATGCATAGAAATTCAGAGAAAAAACCACATACATAGTTAAATAAGAAAACTGATAGTATATTGGCTTATGGGACCTTTAAATGCTTCACATGAAACTGAATTTTAAGTTATTTTTGAATTAAAATGTAAACAACAGTTTAAACAACAACTTCTAAGCCAGTACAGTATCACAACAATAAAATTATGTATCTTAATAATTATTAGCATTTTTTACTTGGTTTTGGGTGGTAGGAAGAAACATATACTGTACATAAACTATGTATATGTATGATCAGATAGAAAGTGTGCATATATACAATCAAAAGGAAAGAAATATACCACTTACTTTAAACAGAGACACACATACATATGACGTGTTTGTGCACTTGAC